TCATGTTTTACAGTTTTTGCATCACATTCACAGAAAATAGGACTATTTTCAGTTTGACACTCCCAACAAAGTGTATATTTCTATGATATAGTGCACATTTCAGGGTGTCGCAAAAGACTACCGCAAAAGACTCTTTCCAATAATTGTCTCCACCTTCAGGCACAATCTGTAACCGCACGTGGGATGGCTGGATGTGTTGGGGTGACTCTGTCCCAGGCACGGCCATGCAGCTCTGCCCTGCGTACTTCCAGGACTTTGACCCGGCAGGTGATACAGCCAGACACGCTTGTCATTAACAGTCTCATTTATTTTACTTGGTAGTAACCAATGATGCTTTTCCTAGCCCACATGTATCATGCCACTAATATCCTCGTCCTCCACTTTTACATGCAGAGAAAGTGACCAAAGTGTGCAACTCTGATGGACAGTGGTTTCATCACCCTGATAGCGACCGTGTATGGACCAACTACACCCTGTGTCAGATATACACAAAAGCTAAACTGACGGTACACTCTCAAGCCAACTAACCGTAGTTTTCTGATTTGGACGCAGACGAACACATTTTTATAAAGCGTACATTTGGTGATTGTTTGTCAAAATCTTTTATATGTTGTCTTTCACGTTTGTTCAGGTTGTATTAAGCATGTACTACTTGGCCATTTTGGGACAAGGGTTGTCTGTGGTGTCGCTGTTTGTCTCACTCTGCATCTTTTCCTACTTCAAGTGAGTCATACTGTTACTTCTTCATTTTACATCCTCCTATGAAAAATATTCCGTTTGTGTTGCTCTTAATACACCCTTCTCCTCTTCTATAACAAAAGTCTTTGTATTGTCCTAAAATTCGCCACATTTCATTACTGTAACATAATGTGGAAAGCAAAAAATAGTCATGAGTGTGAACACTTTCAAGTTTCAACCATTTAATTACAGCACATCAACATTCTTCCGTCTCGGTTCTCGTGTTTCTATTTGGAGTCTTGGTTCTCGTGTTTCTATCAGGAGTCTCAGTTCTTATGTTCCTATTAGGAGTCTCAGTTCTCGTGTTTCTATTAGGAGTCTCAGTCCTCATGTTTCTATTAGGAGTCTCGGCTCTCATGTTTCTATTAGGAGTCTCGGTTCTCATGTTTCTATTAGGAGTCTCGGCTCTCATGTTTCTATTAGGAGTCTCGGTTCTCGTGTTTCTATTAGGAGTCTCGGTTCTCGTGTTTCTATTAGGAGTATCAGTTCTTATGTTCCTATTAGGAGTCTCAGCTGCCAAAGGATCTCCCTCCATAAGAACATGTTCCTGTCGTTTATCTTCAACTCCATCTGCACAGTGTTCTGGCTCACTGTCGTAGTCAAGAACCAGGATCTGGTGGCCAGCAACCCTGTAAGGACTGTACACCGACCGCATAAGAGGGCATACTGCCAGTGATCACCAAATGAAGTGTCCGTTTTGTTTGCAAGAAAACAACGCCTGTCTTGAGGTTCCCACCTGTGGTGTGTTCTCTCCCAGATTGGATGCAAGATCCTGAATGTCTTCAACCAGTATATTTTTGGCACTACCTACTTCTGGATGCTATGTGAGGGGATTTACTTGCACACTCTCATTGTGGTGACTGTGTTCGTGGGGGAGCAGCAGCTGGGCTGGTATTATGTTCTTGGTTGGGGTGAGTGATTGACAGCATGTCCCACTTCACACATCTGACATTGTTGTTTCAGTTTCCCATGCTCCTGGCGCATAATAATACATAGTCTATTCTTTCATGCCTTCATACTGTTTCATGTCATTTCAATGAAGGCTTATGGAAGCTCTTGACATTGTCTCTCTCCCAGGCTTTCCCATCATTCCCGCCATCACTTATGCTGTGGCTCGTGGACTCTTCTATGATGACAAGTAATGTGTCGACTCACCCTGACTAATATGGTTTAATGTTACACAATAGTATCAGAAATGGTGCATTCAAAAATCCTGTAAGTTTAGTTAGGATGTCTCCCTGTCTTCCAGTTGCTGGATCAGTTCAAACACATTCCTGCTTCACATCATCCAAGGCCCCGTTCAGGCTGCCCTGCTGGTGAGTCTACCTAACACAAACACACAAAAATACACTAGAAGTGTCTGGAAACTAAAGGTATGATGCCAAAGGTAGGAGGAAGCCCTTACTAATTGTTGAGTTCAGGTGTTTCAGCCACACCACATTGCTCACATGTGCATGAAATCTATGAAATGTAGACAATTTGGTTCTTCCAGCATTGTGGCAACAGTTTGGTTCTTCCAGCATTGTGGCAACAGTTAAGGCCCTTTTACGTTCCAGCATGATTGTGCCCCTGTGCAAAAAGTGGGTCCATAAAGACATGTTCACATAAGGTTGGTGTGGAGTGGCCTGTACACACTCAACCCCATTAAACAGCTTTGAGATTAATTAGACTGGCAATTGTGAGAGGGCCTTCTCATCCAACATTGGTGACTTTTGGCTGAATGGGTACAAATTCCCAAAGAGACACTCAAAAATATGTTAGAAAGGCTATTCAATTAAGGCCATAAGGCTATTCAATCAAGTAATCAAATGTAATTTATAAACCCCTTCTTACAACAAAGTTGTCACATTGTTTTTACAAACACCCAGCCTGAAACGCGACAGAGCACACATCATCAAGTTGATACGCAAACTTAATTAAAACTTCTTACAAATCGTTTATGATTGGGCTTTGCCCAATAGCATTGCCTCAAATTCTCCCTTATCTGATCTGTCTGTAGGTAAATCTGTTCTTCCTGCTCAACATAGTACGTGTTCTGATTACCAAGCTTCAGGTGACTCACAGTGCAGAGTCCAATGCCTATATGAAGGCAGTCCGTGGAACTCTAATTCTGATCCCTCTGCTGGGAGCCCAGTTCATCTTGGTACCATGGACGCCTAAGGGGCGCAAGATCTCAGTAATCTACGATTTCATCATGAGCATCTTTATCCATTTCCAGGTATAGAATATTTTGTATAAAAAGTGAAACACTCAACGTCCCAATCAAAAGTAGAACACCCAATAGTTTGTATAAAACGCTGAACACCCAACGTCTCTTGAACAGATAGTCTTCCCTACCACCTAAATCCGGAAAGAGATTACTCGCTCATTTAGAAAAAAATATATATTTTCACAGGGACTCCTGGTCGCAATTATATTCTGCTTTTGCAACGCCGAGGTAAGTGCAAGCATGTCTAAATTGGCTGATCAGAATTATTATTATCAGAATAATTCAATAACTTGTGTTTTCGCTTACCAGTATTCACAGAAAATTGTTTACACTTGCATTCATGTTAAGCAAAACTCTGTCTTGTTACACAGGTGCAAGCATGTCTTAGGAGGAAATGGGCACAGACCAAGCTGGTGTGGAAATGGACAGATTCCTACTCCCATTATCACACCAACTCCTCTATAACGGAGTCTAGTCGTGCTACAGTCAACCTGGAGCTCAATGCACTAGAAGAAGACACCATTGTGAAAGACGGCTGCAGTGGGCACCATCGATCCAATGCCCAGAGCAACGGCAAGCACTGCACCAATGGAGAGATGGACATGCCCAGAATGCTTGAGACTACTGACATCTGAGAGCACACCACTGTCACCACTGCCACCAATGGCGTCATCACATTCTCCTCATTACATCATGGCCACTGACAATTGGTCCAGCCAGGTTTAATCTTGGTCTTTAATGCTGATTAGTTTCAGGTGCAATTGTTTCTTTTAAGCATGTTGAAGTATCTAAGCACTCATGCTTTGTATTTTTTTGCTTTATTTCAATACGAAGTTGCTTATTGTTTCAATTTAGATCTGTCTTTTTAATGTCATTTCAATGGTGTGGAATTTTCTAAATTTATTGTGGGTTCCATCAGCTTTCCCTTTTAGAACCATTAAACGACTGGTTATTTTGCGTAGTGCTGACTGTTGAATGTTAAGTTCTCTGATACAATTCAGGTTACTGTGACCGTGAATACTGTGTGCAATACTAAGAGGAAAAAGTGCAGTTATGTGCCCTGAACCTCTAATGAGGACATAATCTGGGATGAGGACATGCCCTATGTCTAATGAGCCAAAGGTATTTTTTTTATCCAGTGTAATTTTATATGCTTTTTACTAATATTATTTTTTCAGTTGCTATATACAGTGTTTGCAAAATCTAAGGGGATACATGTATTGTATCACTGAACTTCAGTCCCACAGCTACACCGTGTACGCAACACATTCCACTTAAATTTCCAAATAAATGTTCAACTGAATAAGTCACTTATTTACCTGGTGTGACAACCTTAATTTAAATAAACTGTTTGGGTTTGTGCTTGATTTCTTTATAACTTATGGTAATGATGCATACAGTTTTTTGGAAAGTTATGCAAACCTCTGATTAAACCTTCTATTATTTAATTGCAAATGACCATTGACAGTTAGACTGTTTGATATTTTTAAAAATCTAGTTGCATTTGTGCCTTTTTTCCCCGTTATTAATGAACAATGGTCAGTATTTTATTAACGAATGTAAAGAAAAATAATAAACACTTCCCTATTTTTTTAAATATATATAAAAAAATGCAGTTATGATAAATGTAATGCCACATTTTCCCATTCAAACCAACGCATGGGTCATGTGACCCAAATCGCGAAAGCAGTGGGTGTCTAAGCCTCGGCGCTTCTACAGTCCATGCTGTCAATGTGACTGTCTCTATATGCAGTTATGATAAATGTAATAATGGCATGGTATTATGTGTAGCATTACTCCAAATCTTTGTTGACATCTGAGGTTCCCCGCAGGACGAGACAGGTCAACATGTCCTATCAACAACCAGCATGTCAATTATTTTGGAACCAAAAATAGTTGACTGAGGAGAGGTTAACCATTAAACACCAACAAACGTAGTTGAACGAAGATTGTTTTAAAACGTTGCACCCCACAGCTCATATATATTCGGTCCAACGAGACAACATATTCAAATAGTCGCAGAGTGGACAGCGACAAAAAGCAATGATTTAGGGGTCGACGGAGATCTGAACTCCGATCGCTGGACTGAAAGTCCAGAGTGCTAACCACTAGACCACAGGACTGGGTGGGCAGCCGCCAAAAAAATGTTGCCTTATATAGACTATACGCTATTGATTTTACATTTTTGGCAATTGATACCATTTTGTTGAATGTAACAATACTCTTCTGACGTTCAAAGCAAAGAATATTAAAGATTATTGCACTTCCTAAATAGCTGGCAAATCCAGCCCATGACCCATTGGATTGATGAGTATGGGACAACATTTTTGTAAATGTACTGTGGGTTACATGAGCTTTCCCTTTTAGAACCAGCATTAAACGACTGCTTATTTTTGCGTAGTACTGACTCTTGAATGTTAAATTATCTGATACAATGCAGGTTACTGTGACCGTGAATAACGTGTGCAATACTATGAGGAAAACGTGCAGATATGTGCCCTGAAACTCTAATGAGGACATATTCGCGGGTGAGGACATGCCCTATATGTCTGAATTAGAAATCTATTTGTACTTGTGCCTTTTTACCGCTATTAATGAACAATGGTCAGTATTTTTTATTAACAAATGTAAAGAAAAATAATAAACACTTCCCTATTTCTTTTAAACCAAACCCTTTGAAATGCTGGTTGTCTTTGATTACAGTTATTTTTACAGTTTATTAAAAAATCCATTATTTCAGTGTTTTTATAATGTACAATTGTATTTCCGTCATTATTTTCGAAATTATTTCGCAATTAATTTGGTTTAATAACGTGTGCAATACTATGAGGAAAACGTGCAGATATTTGTCCTGAAACTCTAATGAGGACATATTCGCGGGATAATAATCATCCAGATTTGGAAATTCAATTTTTTTCTATTCAGGATCAGGTAATCCGTATTACTTTTATGTCGGTTTTTCAAAGCAACACTGGAATGGATCACCCTGATCCAGATACACAGTTTTCATGATTACCAAATCCGGATTACCAGTGGTCAAAATTAGACAACATATCACAATGTGGGCTACCAGCGATGTAAAGAACAGGTCGAAGAACCAACTTGGGGTCACTGTAAATGTTTCTTATTTTGAGACAAAGCACAAAAATAACAAACATACACTTTCATTCATATTTTCTTTTATTACCCCTCATCTGAGCCACAACAAATAAAAACAAGTATATATTAACACATACATTTTGAAAACATTAAAAAACGTATAAACAAAATGCCAAATTTCCAATGGTTAACAAAATAAAGATTGTTCAGGGTTCTTCAACTGAAGAGGAGAGACCAGCATTTTCAAGGCCTGCTGTTAGGGGGCGGATCTGGAGTTTAAATTTGGTTTGCTGCAGTTTGGTCAGCTTGATTTGTTCCTCTGCCAGGAGTATCTGGGATGATTGTGTTTTAGAAATTAATATACAGTGATGAATGACATTGACATTATTGGTGTTGTTTGTTATTTAAATCGGTTTGGGGGATTATTTCATGGGGACAATTTTATTTTTACTTTCTTATACTGAATAGCTTAATTTGTAGCCTATGTCTACTTTATCGCTGTTACAAGGTTACACAAGTCAAGTGCAAAATATAAATACAAATATATACGCAAAATGAAACAAGTGTATTATTTGTCCAATTTTAACGTTTTACTACATTTTCTTCCTGGAAGGGATCAATTATCCTGGTTGGGATCAGGATAATCCAGTTTTATTGTATCAAAGTTATCCAATTCCTACTGACAAGTTTTGAACAACACAAACTGAAGATTTGATCCAGATTAAAACTAGGATTTGATTCTGTGATCTGATCCGATTTCAGAATCCTTCTTTCCCTTTTGAACAACCCATTTTCAAGATTTGATCCAATCCGATAACCAAAATCCGATCAGATTACCTTTGAACAACTGGCCCCGTAGGATAGATTTAATAATGACGTAGTAATACCGTGGTATAATGTCTAGCATTACTCAAAAATAGTCGCAGAGTGGACAGCGACAAAAAGCAATGACTAAGGTTCGACGGAAATTTGAACTCCGATCGCTGGATTGAAAGTCCAGAGTGCTAACCCTTACCGAATGGAGAGCCACTGGAAAATCTTTGGGTTAAATAGACTATACGATATTGATTGTACTTATACTACATTTTTGGTAATTGATACCATTTTTTTAATGTAATAATAATCTTCGGTTATGTAATTATGTTTTTATAGGGTGTACAATTTGTATTTTGCCAATTATTATTACGTGCACATAAAAACTGCTTCATTGATGGAATTCAAGGCTGGGCTTTAGGAATACATTTGAAATATTTGTGTTGCAAGGTCTCAATATTGCTTTTGTCAAATATACCATGCCTGTGTGACCAGCAGGGTGTGCGGATACATTTGTTTTCATCAAGGGAGATTCATCATGGCAATGTGATACATACAGTGAAAACCGTTATTCATTGAACTGTGGCCATGTTTTGTTGTTATTTTGGTTCTGTACTTTAGCACTAAAAGTTTAAAACAACACAATGACAATAAGGTTGAAATGCATACAGGCAGCTTTATTTTCAAGGTATTTTCATACATATCAGATGAACCATTTAGAAATGACAGCACCTTTTTTACACAGTCACCCTCATTTTTGGGCACCAAAAACTTTGGACAGTTTAACACAATGTAGTATAAAGTAATCATTGTAATTGTAAATCAAACTGTAACAAAAATAACTTTAACTGGTAAATTCCTATATAAAGAAGTGTCAAAGACATCTACAAAAAAATAAGCGCTTAACTGTCCTGTTTTTTATAGGTAGGCCTACCATTTTTGTTGTTTTCTGAAACAAATGTTTTATGTAGTCACAAGGGACATGCCAGCCAGGCTACATCAATTAATGTATTCTATGTATGTTTGTGTTCCACACTGTCCAGTTGATAGCAAAGTGTCGGCCTGTTACTGGCATTGAATCTATATATATATATATATATATATATATATATATATGTATATAATTGTGTTTGATATCGTAATGTAAAAGCTGTAAGAACTTCGATTAGCCACACAAAATCAACATAACTTGCACAGTTGACTGCGACATATCCTCTGCACTGCTTAACTGGATTATGTGTTCTTGATATGTGGTATCAATCAGAATTAGGCCCAGTATCCAGATCAATATACACTGAATAGCCTTTAAGTTGCCATTGTGCATTTAGCTATTCAGCAAAAGTGTGTGTTAAAAAGCGACATAAGAGTAACATACGAGAGACAATTGTCCATTGAGAGTCCAGTTGTACTAAATTAAATTGTTATCCAGTCAAAAGAAAGCCATATGCAAAGTGCCCCTGTGTAACAAATAGCAACGACAGAGTTAGTCAAACATTTACTCTACTCTGAGAAGAAGCTTATAGCGTTGCCTAGAGAGTTTCACAAGGTCTATTTGCTCCTTCGAAAATTGCCATCTAAAAATTGAAAAAGCCCAGATTGCATCACTGGTTAGGCAAAGTGGTTATCTCTCACTACTGTGCTGTAAACAACAGGGGTAAAGTAAATAAGAAAGCAGAGTGCCCATTACGATGGTCTTGTGTACAGTCCAGTAATTAGCCTTTACGTTTCATCTTCTCATTGTACTCTTCTAGGGCAGTGTCAGTAACGTTTGGATGGGAAGTGTGTCATTTTCTAAGTATAACCGTGGCTAAGTGAAGGACATGGGCAGCAGACACACAAGCACTGCCCTTCCAAAGACACAGGCTCAAATGGACGATCCACCTACCTCCTGCTGCAGCTCAACTCTTCATTCCTGCCTACATCCATTCTCTATTTCTTCCCTGAAAGGAGGTCCCAGGGGGAGAATACATGTGATGCCAGCCACAGTGTTGGAAGGGGTACAGTAAGTGATTTCTGAAGGTCTAGAAGGATGATGTGCCTGCGTTGATGCTTCATCATAAGTTAAAACCTAAAGAGAATATGGCAATATCGCATATATTTAATCCAACACAGTCAGGTTAAACTATTGTACTGATGATATATGTTTCAGAAAGTACAGCTGACAGGGCGATGACAATTCACCCTAATATTTCTCGGTAAAAAAATGGGTAATTACCGGTCTCGACCTCTGTCCCATACGTTGTTTGAGCGAAGTGAAGGCTTTTTTACCAATCACATAAAAATAGAATGTAGTTTACGTCACGATTGCATTCGATCCATTTTGACGAGTTCATGGCTAAAGTCATTTGGCAAGTTTAGCTGACAATATTTGGTTCTCATTGGAACACGAAACTTGAGTAAAATTTCGCAACTATGACTTGCCTATCCATGAACATCAATTATTGAATTATTACTTACAGATTTTTTACCGTGTTAAGATACTGCATATGTGAAATCAGCTGTGTCGAGCAATGGACATCGTTTTCCTAAATAAGACGTCACAATGCTGTGTAATGTCACATGGATGGGATCCATAGATAGTATTAAAAATTAACACAGTTTTTTTTTTAATTTCGGATATTACTTAGATTAGAATTCCATGAACATGTTGTACATCCGCCTTTCGTTTGCATTGTTTCCATGATCACTACCATAAAGTCCCAGGCACATCGATTACCTGAAGTTGATCTAAACATATTCACTTACGATATCCTCATCGTTATCAAATGACAAATGGCAGTGTTAGCTTTAGCAATGCTCATGTTATCTATTTAAACCTTGGTGGAGAATACATTTACTAGCAAGTTGATTTTATACAGCATGATCCAAGATGGCGCCGCGCATGGCAGCCACGGTCGAACTCTGACCCATTCCTTTTTGCACATTGCCTGATTTGCACTACAATATTTGCTCTATTGCACTGTTGTTTTTCGGTATCTTGTTTTTACATTTTTGTACATTACTATCCCTCTACCCCCTCAGCCCTGTAGTATAATTTATATTGTTTGCACCTTCCTGCCACAGTAAATTCCTTGTATGTTCACACATTCAATGGCGATTAAACACTTTTCTGATTTCTGATTCTGATCTATTATCTAATGGCTACTAATTTTCCTGCCTTCGAATGTGGTGTTCTGTTTTTATGTCTTAGTGCACTTTATACAATATCTT